CGTTTTAACCATGGGAATGGAAGTTTTCCGATTTAACGTGTACGATCAAGCAACGAACGAGAGCACGTAACCATGTGGGTGGCCCGAGTACATGTCTCGCTGGAAGTTGCGCAGGCCCTCGAGGGTCTCCACGGCCCACCACAGCTAGACTCCACCAGTCTCGACGGTCCACCGGCGTGCACATAACATGAGTTGGGTATCGTTGGGGCCACGTCGTAGTTACGCGAAGACATAACGGAGTTTCTGCTCCACCAACACGTGACTGGGACACTGTTGGCGTCGTCATCAGAGTAGTGTAGCATCTAGGAATAGCCATGTGACTTGAGTCGCCCGAGGTGTCGAGTCTGGAAGCATGTTTTGTCATGCCGACGGCAACTCGTTTCGGCAGCAAGGACGGGAGAGGATTCAAGGAAGGTGCAGCTCCAAAGCTGCGACCCGCACGACAGCGATGCAGCCCGAACAACATGCAGGCACCGATGTGCGTAAGAACGTACGTGATCACGCTGGCATTCCCATGCTAATGGCGCGTCGAGTAGCTGAGGCAAGGCGATATCGAATCCTCCGACGCAAGTCGCAATGTACGAGAAGTGGATTGTGCCTTTCTTGTTGCAGGGCACCGCGTTCGCGCCGCCTTGCCGCGCTCGATGTGAAAAGGGACGGCAGCGAACGTCCACCATGACAAACCCGGTGCCGCTTCCGAACTCAAATCCTTTTTTCAGGTTGTGCGTTTCGCAAGACTGCCCACAATATTGCAACCGTTGAAAAACAAGTACATCAAGACGAAGTGGCTACGGCTCGCATTTGAGCTCTTGCGGAGTAGCGGTCACGGAATGGAAGCGGGAAAAAGTGTGGCTGTCAACTACAGCAATCGGGGTTTCGGGCTATCCTGCTGACCGTTGTAGTAGTTGTATTAAACTTAGAAATATGACAAAATGTTGTTGAGTATATTTAGTGTCGCGGCGTATGTACTTTGACGGCGCATGGTACATACGTGTACAACTCTGAAACCCTTACTTCGCTAACCGCAATAGATTTGCATGGCGGTCTGATGGCTGTCCGACTCGTATTGCGCTAGGCGGCAGCTCCATCTGAACCACTTTTAAATCTGCATATTGGAAGTCTCCTACTTCTTCTTACTATGTTGAGCTACTCATGGTGACGCCGAGAACGCCATAGTTCAGCCCCCTAGACTTCCTAGTTAATTCGTGCAATCGCTTTTCCCCCCGTCACCGTCACAGTGCTGAAAGAAAAAGCTCAGCATTGGCACAGTGCTTGTACGTCTGGCTAGTTGGTAATCGTGACTGTGCTCAACGCACCGCTCGTGTTTGTGAGGATTGAAGCCAGCAACTCTGTTAGGACGAGCTACCAAAGGCATGTGATCACCCTCAGCCCGGGCGTCGAATCAAACCATGCCGTGATTGCGGTCGGGTACGACGGCACTGCGTGCAAGATCCGCAACACGTGGGGCACTCGGTGGGACAGGTCCAGTCACACTGCTCTGCAGTGTAGCGCCGAGGGCAACTGCACTACAACGTCGTCGAGGGGATCTCGTACGCTTATGTCACCCCCATACCGTCGCCGTCGACTGGCCCAACCCCCAAGTCCACCACCACCACGTCCATGCTGCGAATGTGGGCTTCGACCCATGCCTGGAACACGTACTTGGGCATCGCCTTCACCTAGGACGTCAGAGATTACAACTACTTTCTACGCCACCTCTGGTTCTGCAACTTGCTGTGGCCTTCCTGTATGCTTGGATGTATCTCGGAGAGAGCGCTTTCGAAGAATGAGTAAGTGAAGAAATTTGCTCCTTATCACCCTGGTTTAGTGCAGAATAGACAGGGGTGTCCGCTAAACGCATTGACATGGAACGTCGAGAGTTCATCCCTGCAAAACGAGGCAGCAGCGTCTACAACAATGCTTCGCAAGCTAAGGCGCCGAGTTGAGAAGCTGTGGCGTCGGCAAGGGTCTTTTATCCATTCCAATGGTAAGCTTCCGCACGTGACTGTCGTTCTTGCGCACGTGTGTAAGCACATGGGGCTTCGGATTCGAATTTGGTCCACACGGGATCTTTATTCAAACTTGGTCTGGCAAACATCTCAATGTGAATACGGAATAAGGAGTACAAAAAGTCTCCCGCTCGTACTTGTGGCGTATGTCTACATCAGGAAAAAGCTTCTAGAAGGCACAAAGATTCTCCTGCCGGGCCCTCCTGCGACCCGAGGGACAGGGCGATGCTGTTGACAGCACCAGGTGGCATACCATCAAAGTAGCTGAGCATGGTCTGTTGTCCCATTGGTCGTCGGTTCGATGTCGGTCTTCGGGGGAGTTTTCCATTCATGCCAGTTCTCCTACATGGAACCACGAGACCAAGAGGTACGAATAGAACGATGAAGCATTGGAAAAGCCCAAAATCCACGATTCTCAACCCATCCCAATCCTGCGACAATGTGGCGTCGCGACGCTACCAAGGTGGTACGAGTCAAACCAGCCCTCGGAAGCACCAACTACAATATTGAGTACAACTCGATCCACCATCACGCCACCTGACGTGGCACGTGTCTGCGACAAACATGTAAGAACCTCGTCACGGTTCCAATATGCGAAGGGCTGTCGATGCACGTCCTTGCGATATTTTTCTTGAAAGTGGTAGGACATATGTGCCACAGCGTGCGACGACCGAACTTCCGCCCAGGAAATCACGCACGAGGTCTCATGTATAATGCATGCGGTGCCTTGGCGAGGAGTCCACGCCAATTGTGCGTGTCACCGAACGTTCAATCGTTTCCTCTCGTTCGGAAAGGTTGGCGCTAACGCTGCTCCCATCCAAGCACTGCAATCCTACTTTCACGAACGATCAGGGTGAAGTCGTAGGCGTGCGTGTGTCCAAAGCGTGTCGCATTGACCAAAGTGTGATGGTACTGTAGCCTGAGACATTCCAATGTCGTAGGGGAGAATGCACCTTGTCACACCGACGGGGATGGTTGGAATATCTCGCCGCCACCCCTTTCACGTTGACGCGTTGTGCTGCCATTGTGCAATTTACGCCGACATGACCTCGCTCCTCGCCCTCGCTGCTCTCTCCGCGTTTGCCGCCGCCCGACCCGAAATCTTCGGCGGCATTGACGTCCCCGTCGGCGAATTCAAGTACGTGGCGAGTCTCCGTGAGACCGAGGCCGGTCCAACCTTGTGCGGAGCGACCTTGATTGCCCCCAAGGTACTCCTCACCTCCGCTTTCTGCGTCGACTTGTCGCCCAACTACGCGTCGATCGGATCGCACAACTCGATCGGCGACAAGGATGGCGAACGCATCAAGATCGTAAAAAAAACCGTCCACCCGATGTACAACGACGAGTTGCTCGACTACGACATAGCCATCCTTGAATTGGAAACCGAATCCAAGTTCGCCCCTGTCGCGCTCAACAGTGACGAATACGGTGCGATTGAACCTGGCACCGATTCGTGGGTGCGTGGCTTCGGCTATACATCATTTCACGCAAAGGAGAACTCCCCCGTCCTTTTGGAAGCCAAAGTAAATATCATGTCCAACGACGAGTGCAATGAGGCGGTGGGTAAAACTGGCAAAATCCTCGATTCCATGCTGTGTACCAATGTCGCCAGCAAGGGCCCGTGCGACAACGACTATGGTGGACCGTTGATCATTATCCGCGACGGTGTCGAGTACGTCGCCGGTGTGTCGATCTGGACCCTTGGTTGCGACGATCCTAGCCTCCCTAGTGTGTACTTGCGCGTGTCGGTTGCCAGCGACTTCATTAAACCCTTCTTGCCTGAAACCCCCCGAATCCCCAAGCCTGCTTGCTAAGCAGTAGGGATCATAAACGTAATAGCACTTGTCAAAACGATAGCTCGCGTTTCACTTCTTGGTTGCATCCTAGTTGGAAATGTTAACAGACACCAGGAAGAAACTGTCATGGGTAGCAGTCCACTGGTTTCAGCTTACACAAGGCGTCATCCTGGTAGGGGTGTCGCCCGCGTTATGAGCTTGAGCTCAGCTAGTCGGATGATCCACATCGGATTCAAGTATAGATCGTGGTAGAAGGACCCGTACATGGATGCCCACGAGGGTTATGAAGTCGTCACTTACCGCAGGCGCTTCTGCGAAATCTGGCTCAAAGTGAGCGATCGAATGTTTTGGATTTCCGACGTGGACATAGACTGGTTGACAAACCCGCTGTAGTCACGAGCCGTCAGGTCGTATGGGTAACTCGAATCGGTCTTTTACGCAAACGACAATGGCTGCGCGGTATGGACCAGCACTGCCAAGAACGACCTGTTCATTATGGAGTCGGACTTCTTGTGTCCATCCATGCCATGGCAATTTGTTCACTCCAAGTGCGTCCCTGCATGCAATCACGTTCTGGCGCACATGATTCAAAATGCTTTTCCTGCGTTCAATGACCTGTATCCAGAAAGCGTTGCGTTGATAACTTTCAAAGATTTGACAAACTGTGCCACCTTCGCCACCGACGCTTCGCGAGCCACGACCATGAACATGTATCCGGGGGGAAGCAGCCCAAGATGCGCGATAGATGGCACGGTGGCCAACACACCCCTCTCAAGCCACGGTGATTCTTATCGATTACAGTGAGCCGTCGCTTCGTGGTGTGCCGAAATGAACCAAAGTCGTACTGGGAATTCGAGGGCTGTGGGCGGAATCGATGCGTTGACATGTGGCCAGTCGGTTGACATGCAAACGATTCTGTGATTCTCCGGTGCTGTGCTCGGCACTGTCTTGCGTCACAGGCCGACTTTCAGGACCAAAGGTCCGTTTTGGAGGAGACGGTTGTTTCTGCAGGCCACAAGTGCCCTTTCCTCAAGTGTCACGTTGAGCTCTTTCCAATGAAGTCGTTTTGGGGCGTCACCTACGTTTTATCCGCTCCACCTGCGACGATTCATGGGTGACCTTGTGCAGTGTGTACCTGGCGGCCTCGAATTTGTGTTACTCGTGTCGATTCGAAAGTTCTTTCACAGGGTTCTGCCATTCAAGCCAATAGTCATTCAAGCCAATAGCTTTGGCCCCGATTACAGCGTGTCCGAGTACGTCCACAAACAGTACGAGAGCCACCGGCGCATCCCTCGAAGCATTGCACAGGAGAGAATTGCGTCCGCGGAGGAACTGTAGGTGAAAGAAAGGTCATGATGAGCTGATCTAGGAGTACAATTCTGCATGATGTAAGGAAATTTGGACTCTCGAAAATCGCCACTGTTTGGCCTGAAACGTTCGTCCTAGGGGCTTCAGAAGCGGCGATTTCTTGGTCAAGAAAGGAAGTTTAACCAAAAGAAAACTAGTCTAGTCAATCGCTCAGTGACATGCATTTTGGAAGGTTAATTGGTTTCAAAACCTACGAAATTCTACCCGCAAAATTGGTGCATTTGTAGTCTATGGGTGACTTGCACCGTAGCAAGAACGCGGAAGATCTTAACTTTGATTGGTTGTGTTTTGCATTTTCCAACCCGATTTTGTTTTCGAGCTGTAGAGGCCTGAAAAGTGTTACTTTTTGAGGAGCACATGTAACGACCCAGGCTGGGTCCAAATCTCAATTCCATCCATCCTACATATGAACCCCTAAATATTTACACAGATCAAGCCAATTATGTCATCGCCATTGTGGAAAGCTGCCCCACTCGACTGCCGCAGCAGCTCAGCAACAACCACACTCTGCCATCTACCAAATGCTTCTGTCATGCAGCAATTACGGTAAGCTCCCACTCAGAGCTATAACAGTGGCTTCCTGGCACTTCAAATATCAGATTGTACACGTAGACGTCTCGCGCACCGAGACGGTGCAATGTTGGCAGGTATATTTCGTCAAGACGCCAAGGTATAACCTTTCAAATTTATGTATTGACTGCTTACACATTTTATGGTTCTTAAGGAATTCTGGACAAGTTGCTGCCCGATCGTCGCTCGACTTCGAGTTGATCGAAGTTTCGTCGAAATTCAAAAGAAAATTAGCATTACATGCAAATATCAATCAAAGAGTATGATTTTACGCAATGTATGAATCTTAGGGAGCTGCTGTGAAGCGTTTGTCCAACAATGGAGTCCGACCTTGCCTACAATGGCTGTCCAGTCAAGAATCCCAAAGACGTAGAAATCAGGCAAGTTTGTCAATTTGCAGCAAGACCATACTTGTCAACCACATTCCAGTGTGACACGCAATCAATATCAATTGTGATCCTCTTGCCCATGCAAAACCGAAGTGCATTTGAATGGCAGTTGAATACCGTGAAAGAGTAGGCTTGGAAATTGAATGGATTTGCCATTATTTTGCTTGGTTCTTGTGATCTCAGAGTTCATTACTGTACAAAGATAAATCGTCTTGTGCTACGTACCCATAATTCAATCAAGATAAATCGGATGACACTTTTTGTGGATGAGAGAAGTAAATGCTAGTCAAGATGTGTTTGTTAGGACAAAATGAACACATTTCGGCACAACGACGAGAGAATTACACGATGAAATTCAATTACTGAGACACTATTACTGTGAGTGATAACTGGGCTTGGAGCATCAGGAATTGCCTGCTCAAATGAACGACTGACCAGTCAGGTTTGAATCTCTTCACATACGGCAATCGTGTGCTTAATCATAGCTATGCGCTATTCTGCCGTTGCCACCACAGGTGCTACATGGAGCTACTATGCGCGAAACTGATCTTTAGAGGCCCCACATCCAATTAATTGTTCAGAAGAAACTTTGCATGCGAGGCTTTGAAGATTTAACAATCCAAGTTGTCGGTCACAAGTAACTGAGCGACCTTCAAACTCATACTTCAGGAGGTGTTCGTGCGCATTGTCGTCCGCTCTTGGCAAAACGGCAAGTATGAACGAGTCACGCATGAATACGAGTCGTGGATCATAAAAAAGATTAAGTAATGAATTTTTATGTCAGGATAAAATGGCGTATACGACAATGTCAACCGACAACGTATAGTATACGCTTACTATACGTATAATTTTCGTTTACTATACGTATAGTAAACGTATACTAGGCGTGAAGTAGACACACACGGCAAGACCCTCAACTTGTACACGAATGTATTCATATCACAACAGGTTAATGCGCTTCCTACGTCTAACCTCCTGTAGCAGCCTAGAGTAAGAATGCGTGAAACCTGCATATGCCTTGTCAAACTCATCGAAACCATTGTAACGGGTGAATGCAAAAGAGAACGTCTTCCGCTCAGAATACCGCTTTCGGTCCGCTCTGACCATATCGTTGGTGAAGTCCTTCAATGCACGCCACTGACCCTTGGTAGGATCCGCGAAAAACCACTGTTGCCACGCCTCAAGCCCCGATCTTGCTGTAGGTACAGTGCTCTTCTCAACAAATGTCTTCATGGTCATTTGAACAGTCTTGTCACCATTCTTGGCGCTCTTGGGTGCAGATGAGGCGACAGCATCAACAGAACCCTTCTTGTGAACACAAGTACATTCAGACCTCTCGTCAACCGATGGCCTTGACGGCATCACTGGGCTTCCACCGCGGAGCAGGTTTTTGGGATCCACATCGCGAACTAAGTCTTTTGTGACTAGGTATTCACATGTAGTGCGGGCATCTCCCCAACGGCACCAAGACATCAACTCGCGAAACGAAAAGCGCTTGTGCGGCGACACGAACACACGGTACTCGGCTCCGCCGCGACGCATGCTGTGTAGACTAATACCGATAGGAAGATTGGAGCACTTTTCAACCAAGCCATTGAGCAAATTTCGTAGCGTTGTCTGCATGAGGGGCTTGTACCAGTCCATCTTGAACGTTGAACCATTGATGTTCGTGATTGCGGGAAATACGAAAGCATCCTTGTTGATATTCGGGCACAATCCACGCATGGCAGCAACATATTCATCATGGAAACCACATACACGGAGACATGGATACGCCACTTCATCAATCAGGTGGTAGATCTGGCACTCATCACTGACGCTGGCTTTCTTGTGCCACTTCAAGCGGACGGAGAGGTAGCGGCCCTTGCTGTCCTCAACCATGCAAAGATCATTCCAACGAAGCGCAAGCATCTCGCTAATCCTGAAACACCCCATATAGCACATTGAGAACATAAAGCGGAGCAATGCAGCGACGAGTGGATGCTCGTTGGCCATGGAATTGAGCAATATGGAGAGTTCATCAACAGTCAGCGGGTAAGCTTTTCTTTCTTCATCGATCGAGTTCAACTTGTTGTACTTCTGCAGGCCCACAACATACTGACGC